ACCAATATTCGGGCTTTTACGGTAACATAATACTCATTCTGATTGGTTTAATCTGGCTCCATAATGAAACTATGGGTTCCAGGTGCTATTGCAATTAATGCCATTAATTCTATGTATATACATACCTCACATTTCTATAGTGTAGTGACCGTAATCGTGACCATTCATTAATCCGCACACGTCCATCTCCATCATTAATAGTTTTCTTACTTAATTCTTCACTTTTATGAAAATCCATCACGATAAAAATCAAATATCAAAATTATTTAACGTTGCGAACGGTTCACTTGTTCACTATACGTATCTGGAATATACCCTACTGGCAAGCAAAACCTTGGGTCGGCGTTTACATGTATAGGAGTGAATCGCTAATCTACTAAGTCGGAGAGAGCCAAAATACGAAGTATTTATTATATAATCACTTTAATCTTACGCTAGATTCCATGCGCTTAGGAAAATACTTGCCTTCTGTCTTTATTCAGTACATCTTCTTTTACGTTTCGTACACACGAAAACCGGCACCCAAGACCAGTAATGCCGACCCTAGTATTTGCGGATGGCGATTAGCGATACGTTAGACTGCCAGAATGCTGACGTCGCGAATATCAAATTGCTTTCCAAACAAGGTTTAGTTCTTATATATTTCTATTGAGCTCTTCCAAATGACGTCACAAGTTAATATAAAATGTAAACACTTTTGTGTCTGGTATTTTCAATACGCCTATGATGGTTGCGCATGTTGCAAAATCTGTGAATTTTTTTAACGATTTTTTGAAGCTGAGCTACTTCTTCGACCAAGTTATGGCTATTACATAAGTTCTGATGGCTTTTTACGGGTTAAAAATCGTAAGAGTTCGGTCAATGTCAAGGTAAGCTTTCTCTTAGCCCACTGATGAAGTGTGTCAACCGTAGGAGAAACGAACCGCCTGTTCTACATTATCATCTTTCGTTTTATTCTCATCCAAAGGATGGTCTTCGTTGTAAGATGTTACCACATAGCGATGTTTAGTATTTTGATTTAACCTAGTGGTATTAAAAACAAATGGTTTTCATAACGTCTTATAGGTCCGAATTACAAAAGCAAATATTTCTTTCTTTTCGCACAGTCATTTTGCGTTTAGCGCAAGACTTGAATGATTTTGCAAATTGTTTGTTCCCTAGTTTAAATAAGTCATTTAGTATTGCCATTATATTTTATATTGATTCTAATTCAAGGTATTTATTTGTATTTGCTGTACTAATTAATTTCACAGCTTTATTTTTTTACTTAAATTTAGTTCTTTTTTTAATTCGTTTATTTATTTTTTAACCTGTTACATTTTTTGTATATCTTATTTATGTAATTTCAATATTAAAGACTTTAATAAAAAAAAAGAAAAAAACTTTATTGTTTTGGTAAAATGTTTTATTTATTTATTTAATTAATTTCGATTTCAAACAACGATTTTTACCAGGGTTGGCATGATTTAAATCAAATGATTTAAATCATGATTTAAATCAAGTGATTTTTTTAATTTTAATCATGTGATTTAAATCAAAAAATTAATTTTATTGAAACTTTATAATAAATCAAAAAATAACTGTAAAAGTTATAAAAATCTATCCTAGAAAACTATAAAAAATATTTCTATAACAGATAATAAATCGAAAAATAATTGTAAATTTTATAAAATTATATAAAAATATCTATTCATCAATTTAAATGTTAAACCGATTTTTGAAGTAATTTCGTGTGAATCCATAAGATCGCTAAACGCAGGAATTTATTTTAAAATTTATTTATTAGATAAGTGACAAAAATTCGCTTTTCGAATACATATCATTCACATTGGCGTAACTACAGGGGAGCCAGGGGGTGCCGGGCCCCCCAATGTACTGCTGGGCACCCCCCAGAGAAATCTTGAATTTCATGACTCTTGGCTACCTATTAATTTTTATTTGCTTGTGATGTAGTAAAAATGACGTTTTCTTGTTTTGTTTAGTTATTATTATTTTGTTGTGTTCAAAAAATGTGTTAATTTTATTTTTTTTAGAAAAATTGTAGGTATTTAAGTAATATACGGGAAACGGTTTGATAACCAAGTCTATGAAATTTATTGACAGAGAAATTCATGTAAACGTTTTATTCAAAAAATGTTTTTTAAAATTATTTTTCATTTTTAAAAAAACAAAAGCCCTAGGCCCACCCTGTGCTCAGTACCAAGCCTCTCTCTTAGGGCAAAATAAGGGTAGTTATGCTAATGATCATTCGCCGACTAGTGCAGAACTAGGTTCTTCTGATATAAAGACTATATCTTCATTTCTGAAAATCTATAATCGTTGTCAGAAAATATGTTGTTTTATATTTTATTTTTTGAAACGTTGGTATATTTCCAAATTCTTACCGACATTTTGATTTGCAGTAAGTATTTTACATTTTGCCATTAGATAATACTAATTTCATTCTCGACTTAAGACTATTTCCGAACAATAGTGTATTGTTTTATTAAGAGTAGAAATTATACTTTTTTTGACGATGCTGTACATTTGAAGGACCATCGTAAAGCTATTCCGACGTTACAAGGAGGCACAAAAAGTACAGTTTTACTCCGAATAAAACACTATTTTTTTAAAACATTACAAATAATTTTTTAATCAATTTCAAACATTGCAAATAATACAACCAGTAATGGAGAAACGATTTGTACACTCGTTGAATTTGACCCCTAATATCAGTTTAATAATATATTTTTGTATTTTTGTGCTTAGGCGTAACAGTGCTTTACTTTTATGCCTATAGCCGTTAAAATGACAAAAATTAATACTTTTGAGACGTTTGAAAAAAAATCCTTTTGATCTGAAGCGAGCGACTTTTTTGCGGAATATATTGGTGACCGATGTGGAAAAATGACACGCCCCGTAGAATTGTCAATGTTATCGGTATCGCTCAGAGTTATTAAGATTTAGCCATTTAGGATAGGACTTTAACTGGAAATAAGTCCTAGTCGTTTGGAAATCCGATTTAAATATTGTTTTGAATTAAAATAAAAAAAATCTGATTTAAATCAAAAAAATCCGATTTAAATCAAAAAAATCTGATTTTTTTTTAAATCATGATTTTTTCCAACCCTGATTTTTACCAAGAGACCTTTTTTACATGAAAAACGGCAGAAATGTATATTTTTTCTCGTAATAGTGTAATACAGGTACAGACGAAAACATATTGCTCTTCAAAACAGTTAAAAAAATATAGGTGGTGTTTCCTACAAGTAGACACCAAAAATTGTCCAAATATCGACGTTAGATCAGAAATTATTTGGAAAAAAACTAAATAAAAATGAATCTTCTACACCCTGTATCTCCGAAACGAAACATTTAAGACATAAATTTATAAGAACTGTCTTACTTATTTCTTATTTATATCTCTTGAATACAGGGTGGTCCGAACTGTATTCCCGGAACTTTGGCAGCATATTCTGCAGATAAAAATAAGTAAAAAAGTTCGTATAAATGTATGTATTAAAATGCTTAGTTTCGGAGATACAAGGTTTAGAAGTTTCATTTTTATTTCGTTTTTTTCCAAATAATTTCTGAACTAATATCGATATTTGCAGTGGCGGATACAGAGGGGGGCCCATGGAGCCCGGGCCCCCCCTAAAATCTGTAAATTGTGTAAAATATTAGGCTTTTGGGTTCAAAATGGTGCCCTAAAAAGCATATTCTACATTGCTTTTTATTTTGGGCCCCCCTTAAAATAAATTCCTTTATCCGCCCCTGGATATTTGGATGAAAATTGGTATCTGGGAGTTTTTTGACATGAGAAATTTGATTTTGATGTCAATATGACTCCTACTTGTAGAGAGCGCCACCTACATATTATATGTTTGAAGAGTAATAACTTTTCGTCCGTACCTGTATAAAACTGCTGAGTAAGAAAATATACATTAAGACGTTTTTTACAAAAAAAGGGCCTCTTGGTAAAAATCTCTAAGAGTAATGGTTATCGAGATATTAGAAATCTTAATTATCAATACCTGTCATCATTGACATAAATTACACATGTTGACTAAATAGTTATTAGTCTGAAATCATAAATTTAAACTGTTGTTGTTCTAAAAGTTCAACAGAAACTGTTTTATCATCATTTTTTGAAAAAAATTATGATTCAATATTCAATTTAAAAAATAATTAGTTCCCAAATTTATCATTTCAGTCAAATAACTATCTATATCAACATATGTCAATAATGACATGTATTGACTATTTTCATTCTAAATATCTTGAGAACGGTAGCTCGTAGCAATTTTTACCAAGAGACCTTTTTTGCGTTAAAAACGTTGTAAATGTATATTTTTTTACTCAGTAGTTTTAGACAGATACGGACGAAAAGTTATTACTCTTCAAACCAAAAAACTCCCAGATACCAATTTTCATCCAAATATTGATGTCAGAAATTATTTGGAAAAAAATCGAAATAAAAATGAAACTTCTACATCCTGTATGTCCGAAACTAAGCATTTTAGAAAATACATTTATATGAACTTTTTTACTTATCTGTAGAATATGCTGCCGGAGTTTCCGAAATAAAGTTCGCACCACCCTGTATACCGGGTGCGTCTCAAAAGTGGCTCACCCCTAAAACTTTTTTATTTTTTTCGATAAAAAAACGACATTTAGTATGTTAGTACATGACATAAATTAGGATTGATTGACGTATTCAATTGTGTTAGGTCACTTCCTGTTTCACCGGAAATGACTACAACTTCTGATTTTTAAATGGCACCCTCGGTATTTTTTTACATTATTCGATAGAAAATGACATTCTGAATAGAATGACATATCATATGTCAACATTTGATATGTCATTCAGGGGTGAGCCACTTTTGAGACGCACCCGGTATTGCCGAAGTTTCCCGATTACAATTTGGACCACCCTGTATATTGACGTTATCAGAAATGTATACATTTTTTTGACAGAGTACTAGTAGCTGAAAAAAATAGGTAATTCTTTATGTACTTACGTCCTAAAATCTTCTAAAGCCCCTATATATTTCCTGAAAGCCTTGTTTTTGTAAACTCTCCACACGGGCATTTTTAATTCCACTTCAGCCACGTTCCAAAAGAACGTATTTATAGCGTCGATAATCCTCTTGGACTCTGAATTGGTGTCCAATTGAGGATCCAAACAGCCCAGCCTAGTATTTAAGGATACCCTAGTCACAGCTAAAAAAAATATTGTTAAATAAACAGTATTAAGTCTACGGGTGCGTCTCAAAAGTGGCTCACCTCTATAACATTTTTATTTTTTTAGATAGAAAAGGAGATTTGGTATGTTAGTATATGACATAAATTAGGATTGATAGACGTATTCAATTTTTTTCGGCCACTTCCTGTTTCACCGGAAATGACTAAAACTTTTGATTTTTAAATGGTACCCTCGGTATTTTTTTTTACTTTATTCAATAGAAAATGACACTCTGAATAGATTGACATATCAACTTTTGACATTTTCGCTTAAAACAAAATTGTGTTTTAAATTTCAATCCTGAGTGCCATGGCTGTGTTAAAAACACTAATTTTTAATCAAGGAGCCTTGGAGAAATAGATTTGATCGTCTAATGTTTTTAGTATCTTGACCTGGCCTGTTACATGCCCAAATCGTATTTTTAATCATATCTCAATTTTTTCAAATGGAACGAGGGTCGTTCATTAGCATATTTGGAAAAAGCATTATTTTACCAATAATTTGATACCACACACTTGGTATTTCGAGTCAAATTGTAGTCATGGACTGCATGTTACGATTTCAATTAAACCATATTCGAAAATGTCAAAAGTTAACATATGATATGCCATTCTATTCAGAGTGTCATTTCCTATCGAATAACGTAACAAAATACCGAAGGTGCTATTTAAAAATCAAAAGTTGTAGTCATTTCCGGTGAAACAGGAAGTGACCAAAAACAATTGAATAGGTCAATCAATCCTAATTTACATCATATACTAATATACCAAATCTCGTTTTTTATCTGAAAAAAATAAAAAAGTTATAGGAGCGAGTCACTTTTGAGACGCACCCGGTATAGAGAAAAAAATAATTAAAGTTGTATTCTGGTACTCACATTCCAGTGCCCATTTATAGATTTCATAAAGGAAGTTATCTGGTAATTCATTGTTGTTGTCTAGTGAATGTTCCATTCTGTAATATAAAGAGTTCATTATATTTTTTGTAGTAAAAAATAAAGATATGATATTCCTGAAGGATTTTTCAGTAATTTTTCTATAATAAAAAAACATGTATTTTGCAGTATTTTAATAGTTCTATACTTTCTTATTATTTTTTCCTGAAACTATGTAATATATAAAATTATTTAATTTCTAATAATAATAATTCTATAAATAAACTTATTATTTTTCGAAACCGGGTCGTATATAATTAATATATTAATATAAATGTATATATTAATATAAACGTAAGACGGTGTATAAAAAAAATAAATGTACTTAATGAAATAAAAGGAAAATTATTTATTGACCTAAAACCAAGAGAAAACGTATATAAAAAAAATAATATTAATATTTATTTATCCTCAGTTTTTAAAGTCTCGTTTTCAAAAAATTAACAATGTATATTTCATAATAACGTTTTTATTGCTAATTCTTATAAGTTCTGATTTTTTCGTCACAGAGCGTGTAACTATGTAATAATTTTAATATTATGAGCTTTATTATGGTATTTAGAACCTATTTCTATTTATTTCCTTGTTCTCTCCACTTATAATGTTAGACACTTGTAGACTGAGTTTTTTTTGACTGACTGAATTTCAATATAAATAATAGTGATGTGTAAAGAAGTATGTTCTAATATTGTCTATAGCTTTGAATTTTACCGCTCTGACAAGCTCTGAGTTCATTAGACTTGCTGAGCCTACTTTTGTATATAGCAAGGGAATTGGGTCAACTCAGTCAACCCAGTCATAATAGAGCTAAATAAATTAAAACCTGTACATACTTTGAAAATTAATTCTTAAGGATCTATTATGCTGGACTGTTCGGGTCGCTCTCAGGGATCGGATAAAGCGGGTGTGTGGCCGAAAGAAATATATATTTTGCAAAATTACAAACACACGTGCTTTGATTTAGGCTTGATTAAGGTTTGCAGACCATCAGCATTTGGCATAAAATAGCGAGTAATTTGTTACAAAACCTATATAAGTTATACACATTTCGACCCAAGGAACATGTCTATGAGGTTTTTTTCGCGTAAAAAAGATGTTGAAAATCATACATTTTCTTTTATATTTCCCTGTATATTTTTCGAAAACTTTTTAGAACTGCCTGTTCACCGCAAATTTTCCCACGGTATAATTTCTTAATCTCTGATATTACCTTAGTTACGGCTTTACTCTATGGTTAAGGCACTAAAAAGGATGCAATTGCAGAAAAAATCCAGTGGCTCTCAAAATTTTTTCAAAAAAATTCAATTTTTTTTTTAATTTTTAAACTTAAATAACTCGGTTATTTTGGACTTATCTGAAAAATGGTAAAGATACCGTATGATCGAAAAAAAAATGGCGTCCAGTTGGCTTGGAAATGACGATCGATGACATTTCCCATATAATTTTACATATAAAATGACAGCGATCTTCATTTCATAGCCATCGCTCACGCCGTTTTTATTCGATCATACGGTATAATATGTTTCTTTTATCGAGATCTACCAGCCCTGAAAATATTTGCACATATTTAAGACTCACCCTGTATATCGCTGTAATCACAAAACTTCAATCTATTTCCGTTTTTGTATTGTACCCCAGTCAAAATAAACAAAAAAGGAGGTTAAATAACAATAATTTGCATAGAGCTGAAAATTGGTACAGGTCTTAAATACAATATTATAAATTATATCGGAAAAATCCCCACCCCTCCCACATCTGCTAAAAAAATTATTCAAGGTGAAAAGTCAAAAATATGCTTTTTTGCTTTTTTTTCTCCTAAACGGTAAGCGCTATCGCAAAAGTACCTTAAACAAATGTTGTAGACCATTAAATTTTCTACAATAATGGTTCTTATACTTTTTTCTTACGAACCACCATTCCTGAGATATGGCGATTTCAAAAGTTGAAAAACTCGTATTCTTCATAATATGCACTCATTTCCGCACCACCTGTGAGGTAGGGTACTTAGGCGCTTTTTTTTAACGTGGTTTCCGCTGTAGGCCTAGTCCACGATCTGTTTTGTATTTAAGTTTTATTACACATTATACTATTAATTTTAAAAAACGGTGCTCTTGGTAATGATTATAGTCGAACGGATTATTGTTGATTTTGGGAGAATTTTAATCTGAGTGGTAATCTTCAAATGATACTTCAACCGTAATGTTTGCGCACAGGGGCGGATACATGAATTTATTTTAGGGGTGGGCCAAAATAAAAAGTATCGTAGAATATGCTTTTTAGGGCGCCATTTTTAACCAAAAAGCCTAAGATTTAACATAATTTACAGATTTTAGGGGGGGGGGGGCGGGCCCCATGGCCCCCCCTTTGTATCCGCCCCTGTCTGCGCAGACGTATTCAAAAAGATTGACTCTTCTCCACAAGTCATCATCACAAGTGGTATTCGCTTGCTTCTTGCTATATATGGTGCCCCAAAAAAAATTGATTCTATATAGACAAGTATATAGATATTTAAGTTTTGTTAAAAATACTCGGAACAATAAAATGGTACAACTTTCTTGTCTTCCTTCAACATCTGCTTCTGCCTGTCAACAGTTATATCGTGTATACTATCAAGTTCAATTGTGACTAGGCAATCAACTGAACCCAGAAGACTGGGGTTGGAAATTTATAGATAATACTTTGGAGCTGATTAAAACTTTACTTCCACCTGCTCCAGAAAAAACTACTTAACACAATTTTTTGTAGCGCACGCTGTCGTTGTAAAAGAGTCGGGTTGTTTTGTACACCAATATGTACTAATTGTCAAGGTCAGTCTTGCTCCAATATTGACTTAAATACAGATGAGGATTTTAATGAGGAGACAACTAATGCATCTGTCATAGATGGATTTCCAGACATTTCGTAAGAAAATGAGAAAGAAAAAAGCGAAGAAAACATTACTGTTGAAGTATCATTTGAAGATTATCACTCAGATTAAAATTCTCCCAAAATCAACAATAATCCGTTCGACTACAATCATTACCAAGAGCACCGTTTTTTAAAATTAATAGTATAATGTGTAATAAAACTTAACCACAATAGATCGTGGACTAGGTCTACAGGGGAAACCACGTTAAAAAACGCGCCGAGTACACTACCTCACAGGTGGTGCGGAAATGTGTGCATATTATGAAGAATACGAGTATTTCAACTTTTAAAATCGCCATATATCAGGAATGGTAGTTCGTAAGAAAAAAAATATAACAACCATTATTGTAGAAAATTTAATGGTCTACAATATTTGTTTAAGGTACTTTTGCGATAGCGCTTACCGTTTAGGAGAAAAAAAGTAAAAAAACATATTTTTGACTTTTGACCTTGAATATTTTTTTAGCAGACGTGGTAGGGGTGGGGATTTTTCAGATATCATTTATAATAGTGTATTTAAGACCTGTACCAATTTTCAGCTCTATGCGAATTATTGTTAATTGAAATGTCTATTTTGACTGGGGTATTGTAACGAAATTTTAAATTATGTTTTTATTTTCGAGAAAATTTAGTCCAAATATAAGGAATATTTTGTTAATGTTTGACCATTAAAATCTTAAAAAATAAAGAAGTTGTCTAAAAATGTGCTACAATACGGAAATACGGATATAGTATAATCCTTTAACTTTAATTTCCTTCTTCATTTGTGATGTAAAAATACCTAGCCAGTTTTAGATAAAACGTTAAATGCCGACTAGTGAAATGGACTCTTAAGGAAACTTCACACATTACTAAAATATATGAGCAGATGCATTTTTGCCCAATCTTAAGGGACTGCCCCATGCCTACCATATTGTGTTTGTCTCCAGTCTCCCCATATCTGTGTCCGCACCAGCTTGTGCAGGGTCATGATAGGATCGGAACGTAGTTTATCCGGTTGGGGCCCTGCTTTCCCAAATAAAAAGTGTCGCTGACGAACCATAGTAACATAATAGCTTTGCTCGGATTTTTTATTTTATCGACTTTGTACCGTCCTAGAACACCACGGCGCATGCGCAGATAAAAAATTGCCACATAATTCCTTCTGAGCATGCGTTTCACAGTTCTAAGACGGTTCAGAATCGGTAATAAAAAAAACCGAAATAAGTTTATTATGCCATTATCTTATGTTTTAGGATCTCTGTCTTTTTAGAATCTCCAGCAAAGACTTCATTCATAGCAACGTTCAGTCTATAGATCTGGACAGATGCATGCTTCGAGCAAAAAAGAGTAAAAAAGGGAAGAGACAGATGACCCAGTTAACAGAATTGATCCACAGAATTAAATCTGTCTAAAACAGATTTTATATGTAGTTCTTTCGCATACCATTTGTCATACCCAACATTCCTTTTGCGTTTAAAAGAATGTACGCAGCAATATACCTATGTGTATCACTTACCGAATATCGTTCTACTTTCCCTAGGAATTTTTCCGATAAAAATATACTCGAAGTTTAATGGAAAAAATTCACACAGCCCATAGCACCCAGTATTACATGTTCGTCGCCCGCTTATTTACGTAAGAATGGTAATATATTATATGGGGCCATATATAAATAAATAAATATCACCACGGAGTATTATATTATATAATAACACCTATTCTTAGTAAAATTATTCAATGAGTTTGAGAAATGAAATGTTGAATATATGAAAATCAATATATACATTTATAAAAATTGCTAAAAAAAATTGACTGATTACTTTCCTCAGAGTAGTGCTAATTTTGTTTGTTTCAAACTTTTTCCTTTTTAACAAGTGCAAAAAATGTGAAATTAAATATGTAATAAATAAATTAACGCTTTATTCATTCAAAAAATCGATTTCTGAACTTTGGATTTCTGTAATTCTCATACAAACTGTATTACAAGATTAATTCTAGCGACCTAAAAATTAACCAGGTGCTGCTGGCTATTAAATCGAGAATTATATATTATTACATAAACAAAAAGTGAAACACTGTTTTTATTAAATGTCCATAATGAGATTCCAGCGTTATTAGTACATATTTAAATTACAAAAGGAACATAAAAAGTATTATTTACGTATTTTAGAATTTTACCGAATTCGGTTAATATTGATATATCAAGAGCAACCTCTTCAATCGGAACAGCTAATCGTAACGACCAATTCCTATTAGCTAATCGTCCCTATTAGCGAATATAAATACAGTGGTAAGCTTAAAAATGTTTACTAGCAGACCTTGCAATCGAACATTGTTCTTTTTAGAACCTGTTTTAGTATATATATATATATATATATATATATATATATATATATATATATATATATATATATATATATATATATATATATATATATATATATATATATATATATATATATATATATATATATATATATATATATATATATATATATATATATATATATATATATATATATATATATATATATATATATATATATATATATATATATATATATATATATATATATATATATATATATATATATATATATATATATATATATATATATATATATATATATATATATATATATATATATATATATATATATATATATATATATATATATATATATATATATATATATATATATATATATATATATATATATATATATATATATATATATATATATAATATATAATTCTCGATTTAATAGCCAGCAGCACCTGGTTAATTTTAGGTCGCTAGAATTAATCTTGTAATACAGTTTGTATGAGAATTACAGAAATCCAAAGTTCAGAAATCGATTTTGAATGAATAAAGCGTTAATTTATTTATTACATATTTAATTTCAGATTTTTTGCACTTGTTAAAAGGAAAAAGTTTGAAACAAACAAAATTAGCACTACTCTGAGAAAAGTAATCAGTCAATTTTTTTAGCAATTTTTATAAATGTATATATTGATTTTCATATATTCAACATTTCATTTCTCAAACTCATTGAATAATTTTACTAAGAATAGGTGTTATTATATAATATAATACTCCGTGGTGATATTTATTTATTTATATATGGCCCCATATAATATATTACCATTCTTACGTAAATAAGCGGGCGACGAACAGGGTTGTCGCAACTAACGTCGCATCCCCACGCCTAACCGCCACCTGTTACGATCAAGAACATCTTCCTCTTCCAAGTTACGGTCCTCCATTGCCCTTCTGATGGCCTCATTCCAGGATCTTCTAGGCCGTCCTCTTTTCCTTTTTCCAGGAGGTGACCAGCTGTAGATACGGTAGGGCCATCTTTGGTGTTCCATGCGTAGCAAGTGTCCAAACCACTTAAGGCCCCTCTGTTCGACTCTATCCACTATTGTCTATGTGGCATCCATTTTGGCTCTGATTTCCACGTTCCTAACTCTGTCCAGTTTAGATACTCTCGCACTGCGTCTCCTATAGTCCATTTCGAGTGCATTCAAAGCTCGCTTTTGTTCAGCTTTTAAGGTCCAAACTTCACACCCATAAGTTACTACGGATTCCTGTTTTAGTACGAAGTGTAAAAGATAGCTTAATAACTGTAAGAAACTCATCGCAACTTTATTAGAATACTAGCGTGTACCAGCGACTTCGTTCGCGTCGAAATAATCATTTGTAATGGTGATGATAAAGCAAAGCAAGAATTTCCATTAACATAAAAAACCGGATAAAATTTTCTGACATTAATGTCAGCATGAGAAAAAACAATATGGCGATATTATTATATAACTTGGTAATATTTGAGGGGTAGTTTCATCTCGTTGCAATTTGTCTTTCGAAAAATCCGTTTGCCAAAAATAAGCTTTTTACGTCAAGCAGTTTAAGCAGAATCGTGGTTAAGAAATTACCCAACTCTTTGGAACACCCTGTATGATTTTTTAAAAAAATTCAAAATATGTAAAAAAACAAATAAATTATGCTTGTCCAAGCGTTTTCCCGAAAGACTAACCGTTTTTTAAATAACAAATATTGTAATATTTGGGGGGCGTTTTCACACTCTTGGAATTTGAGATTCGAGAAACCCCTCCTTATCGAACCTCTACACCCCACAGTCAATCTGTTTGCCAAAAATCAGCTTTAAACGTCAAGCAGTTTAAGCAGAATCGTGATTACTCAATGGTCATATTTTATGAAACACCCTGTATAAATTTATAAAAAATCTTAAAATATGTAAAACAACAAAAAAAAATATCCGTGTTTAAGAGTTTTTCCCAAAAACTCAATGGTTTTTAAATAAAAAAATATTTTAATATTTGAGGGATAGTTTCACCCCCTTAGAATTCGAGTTTCGAAAAATCCCTTATCGAAATCAATCTGTCAATCTGTTTTCGAAAAATCAGCTTTTTACGTCAAGCGCTTGAAGCAGGATCGTGTTTAATCAGTATGTGTCACTTAAGGATTTTATACCCTGCTGGCATTTTTCGAAATACCCTGTATACATTTTTAAAAAATCTTAAAATATGTAAAAAAAATAAAATATACGTGTTTAAGCGTTTTTTCGGAAACTTGACGGTTATTTAAATAAAAAATATTGTAATATTTGAGGGGTGGTTTCACCCTCTTGGAACTGGAATTTCGAAAAATCCCTTCTTACGGAACGTCTACACCCTAGAATCAACCTGTATGTCAAAATTGAGCTTCTTACGTTGAGTGGTTTGAGCAGGATCGTGATTAATCAGTATGTCAATCACTTAAGGATTTTATATATTATAGTATAGATGTGGTATAGATTTTGAACGGGAAAGCGGTAGTAATTAGTAATGGCCCTTCATGTCACTTCTGTTAAGAAGGTGACAAGTAATTAATTTATTTTTGTTTCCTAAAAATTTTGATTAAAAGAAAATATGTAAAAGTGGGCAACGCTGTGCTGGTCAAACTTAATCACGTGAAAATTACGTAAAAATTTGATTTGATATGAACTACATGTTAGTATTAACATTGCTAATACAAACATCGCAATTGAGGTTTTCTGATTATTGGATGTTCCGATTGATGTGTGTTCCGATTAATGAGGTTGCACTGTAATAGCCAATTTTATTCTTTTAAAAATACTCACAAGCTTAAGAAATCCTGTGCGATATCATCCAAGGGCTCTACATATTTCTTTGCTGTAGCTGGTGGTAGAAGAACTTGTTGAACTTGTCTTCTGAATGCTTCCCATTTAGGACCGTGCCTGTTCATTACAATATTATTATTATTATTTTCATTAAATATCATATCTTACTCACACTCCAATAACTCCTTCGTTCCCTTCAAAGAAGTCTTTATGTAATTTCTGTTTATAATAATGCAAAGATGGCATAGAAGGTCTATGAGGCATTGCTTCTTCTCTTCTGAATACGTTTTTAATGTCTTCACCATTGAATACGAAGAGTAGATCAGGATGGCCTAAGGAATACCATTTTTGTCAATCTATACAGGGTGTCCCAGAAATAAGTGCAAGTATTTTAAGTGGTGGTGGATCTCGATAAAAGAAACATATTTTCTCTTTATCGTTTTTCAAATAAGTCCAAAATAACGGAGATATTTTACTTTAAAAATTTCTAAAAAAAATGATCTTTTTGCTAAAATTTTGAGAACCACTGGATCTTTTCTGGATTTTCTTTCTTTTAAATTTAATCTACTAGGTACCTATGTTGCGGTATTATCAAGAAATTATTTTTTTTTAAATAAAAACTAAAAAAATATTTCAAAAAAATTTTCAAAAAAATTCTGAATTTTCAAAAAAAAAATTTCGCGAAGAAACCTCATAGGCGTGTTTCTGGGGTTGAACTATACTACCAGTTAAAATACTTGCACTTATTTCTGAGACACCCTGTATAATAAATATACATATAAAGTCATACCAAATAAACTTTTAGTCACGTAATTAAGCTTGACCGGCACAACGTCGCCCACTTTTACATATTTTCTTTTAATCAAAATATTTTAGGAAACAAAAATAAATCAATTATAAATATAGAAACCTCCTTAACAGCACATAAGGGACATAAAGAGTGATTACTATCGCTTCCACGTTCAAAATATTCTAATAAGGTTGCGATGAGTTTTTTTGCAACGCGGCTATTAAGCTATCTTGTACACTTCGTACTAAAAGGGGTTCTTAAAAGGACAATCTTCGACTGTTGCTGCTGTATACTTTAAGCTTAAACATTTTTACTAGCAGACCTTGATCTGAATGAAAATGAAATTTCTACGGCTATTAAGCTATCTTGTACATTTCGCACTAAAATAGGTTCTAAAAAAACAATGTTCGACTGCACTGCAAGGTCTGCTAATAAACATTTTTAAGCTTAAGGTATCACAACAACAATTCATTTAAACCAAAAACTCGTAATACAAAACTAAAGTGTCAAAACGAATGACAATGTCAGGAAATAAGTAAATAAATGTGGCAACTTCGCATTTTTTACAACAGAGCTACCACCTGAATCCCCAGCGGGAAATTTAAATTAGAGTTGGTCAGCCTGGCGCCGAATATATACATGGTTGACAACAATGAATTTAAAAATCGCGCCCTCGATTACGTAACTAAAATTTTAATTGGTATTGCTTATATTTTAAAAGCATGTATAGATAAGGCTAGTTACCTATTAAACCTCCCACTTTGACAATACGACCATAGTCTTTGTACAAAGACCACATGACTTTGTCCAACTCATGAATTTTGTACTGACCTAAAAATATAAGATTTTCAACAAACAAGTTTTCTTTTAATTCATTTATATCAGAGATCTAAAGGATCTTTTAGTGAAACTGTCTAATGTTGTACGTACAGGAGGTGGCAAGTTTACAAAATGTGCAGTTTTATCATTCTTTGGATTATTGTACTTATCTTCCTTACCAATTAGAGGAGCAAATCTCCATGCATTCCCTATCAAGGGTAGCTCTTTCGGTCCAGGGATGGCGCTGTAAGGCTGCACGATCTGTTCCGACTTTTGCTGAACGTTCGGCGTGACCAAACTTGTCAATTCCTCGTATATTTCCGGCATGAACTCGATGGCTGTCGAAAAGGGCCGAGCAGTGGGCGCGGCAGTTTGTGTCTGATCGGCGGAAGTTGACGATGATCGGGCAAGGGCTTGGGCAATGAAACGCCTGGAAGGGCGTTTGAGTATACGGAGCACATTGACGTAAGTGTTGGGAGTCATTTTTGGTAAAATTCCCTATATAGAAACGCCATATATTAAGTAGGTACAGATTTATTCTAGGACAATTGACAATACGCTATACCGGGTGCGTCTCAAAAGTGGCTCACCCCTATAACTTTTTTATTTTTTCAGATAAAGATAAAAAACGAAATTTGTTATGTTAGTATATGACATAAATTAGGATTGACTAACATATTTAATTATTTTCGGTCACTTCCTGTTTCGCCGGAAATGACTACAGCCATCTACAGCTTTTGATTTTTAAATGACACCTTCGGTATTTTTACTTTATTCGAAAGAAAATGACACTCTGAATAGAATGACATATTATCATATGTCAGCTTTTGACATTTTCGCATATGTTTTATTTGAAATTGTAAGCAGCGGTTCATAACGACAATTTGATTCGAAATACCAAGTGTGTGGTATCAACCCAGTGAGCATTTTATTCTTTTAAGGGAAATGTGTGATGTTGACGTTACCTGGCCCTTCGTTTGCCTGATAAAAATGAATAAAACGCAGATACGTAACTGTTCCCTAAATGTGACAAAACTTTGCTCACTGGGAAATTATTCGTAAAAAATTGCTTTTTCCAAATATGCTAATAATGAGCCATCTTCGTTCCAATGGAAAATATTTCGTTAAGATTAAAAATACGATTTGGGCATCTTTTAACCAGGACAAGACACTAAAAACATTAGACGATGAAATATGTTTTTCCAAGCCTCCTTGATTAAAAATTATTATTTTTAACACAACCATGGCATTCTAGATTGAAATTTAAAATACGATGTTTTTTAAAGCGAATATGTCAAAAGTTGAACAGGAAGTGACCGAAAACAATTAAATACGTTAATCAATCCTAATTTACGTCATATACTAACATATACCGAATCTCGTTTTTTATCTACGCTGAGCCACTTTTGAGACGCACCCGGTATATTGAAATTCGTGAACCATTTTTGTTATCATAACTATGAATGAAAAGTCGCTCTCAAATAAATAAATAAGTTGTTCTAAAGGGTAAAAAGAGAGACATTGTAAAAATACTTAAAAATATTACTTTTGTAAAACAAAAAATAAATATCCAAATATATGGCTCCGATTTTTTAAAAAATTCAGTTTCACTTTCTCATCTTTTATAATTATTATTTATACATTTTTTAAAAAAATTGTGCACTTACATTTAACGCTTCTATCACTAAAACTCTTTTTGATTTTATCTTTTTTCTCAAAATTCTCGCTCAAAATCAAAATCCAATCATTCCACACCACCAGTAATCCCAGTATTTTCCACGGAGAGTTTTGTAAACTTAATATTTCCATCATCAGTTGCGCTAAAATTTATAAACTACCCAACAAGAAGCAAGATTGAGACCGGTGGGGATCAAATTCGAAATTTTGTAATAAAAGACCGGTACATAAGAGTGAACAATTTCAAAATTGCCTCGCAATATCGACATACTGTCTTTTCAACCCATATTCCACACTCAGTATTTGTTTCTCCGTCTAGCACGTTGTGAGACGCGTGTATTTGTCCTTATTTTCGATCTGTACCGCTCTCGATCGACCTGTCAAGGTCGCGTTTGTTGTGGCAGAGCGCGGTCTGTGGCCCGGTGATTGGATAATTTGGACCAATAAGCTCGTAGTCCAAGAGATAGCATGTTTAAATTATCTTAAGGAGTGTAGAGATGAGGAGAAATATCTCTTATAAGATTTTATTTGGAAAAGTGGTCACAAAAATGGGAAGAATAAGGATTCACCAAATAACCACAGTGGCGCTAAGGACGCATAAATCTAAAAAATTGAAAAGTAACCATAGATAATAGAATTAAAAGTAACATAACCAAACATTACCCCACAAAAGCTTTGTTTTTATTTTTTAGAATATAAAAGACTTATTTTTATATATTAAGGGCCCAGTCTATTGTTGTTGAATAAAAATCTATAACTTATTTCATGTGATATGAAAATAAAATTTGTATTTACTTGAAACCAGCCCCTTCACGTCAAATATTTATCTCTCTTGAATCTTACGTCTCAAGTGCTGTACGGTGGAGCCTCTACTCGTTTTGCAGCCAACGCATAAAACATTCATTTTCTCTTATTCGGCTAGCGAAGGTATACTGAAGACGATGTGGAACTGAAAGCGACAGTGTTGTCATATTGTTTACATCTGTAATACGTTTGACGAAAATATATTTGGATGAAAAATCCGCGTTTATGTATTGAAAATGTATTCGTGTTAAACATAGAATAAACAACAAAAATAAAAAAAAATATGGGTATTAAATATTTCTTATGATAGAACAAAGTCGTTTAGTTGGCTTGGAAATGACGACTATTGACATTTACTATAATATTTTACATATGAAATAACAACGATCTTCATTTCCAAGTCAACTCTGATGCCGTTCTTTTTTTAATCGTATGATATTATATTAACGTACTGTACCAAAAATCAGTAAATTTACGGATTAATCGGTAGTTCTGGCAACACTGTCTCCGGCAACCACTCACTCTGTTGACTGAAAGCAGAACTACCGTACAGTATTCTTTATCCGTTGCGCTGTAAAAAATGCTGTAAACATAGACTTGCTGTAAACGATTTAAACGACTATCGGCGCAGAGCTAAACCAGCTAAATCTCGGACAGGCTGACGGTAACGCCAGCTACATCTCGGATAGGTTTTGTGCCACGAAATCGCCCATAAGGTTGCGCATATTCTTATTTCTTCAATCAACGGTGAAACTATATTTCATTATAATTCTCAAAATAAAGAAAGATTCTGGTGTTCTGCTCTCTCTCTCTCTCTCTCTTCTCATTTAGCTTGAAAATACCTTAATCTTTATAATTACATACTTTACTCAATTATCTATAGTTATGGCATGGCGTTTTTCCTTAACATGGCAGATTAGGTTTGAAAAAATATGTTTTTTAATATCTCGATATGAAAAAATATCTAGTGTTTTTTATGGAGTCTCCTGTATTTGAGACAGATCACAGCTGATTATATTCAAATAAATACCGTGTGTTCTTAAATCAACGAGCCATAACGCGGACATAATGATGAAATCCTCTGGCTACGACCTTAAGAAAAAAATAATTAACCAGCAACAACAATGGAAATAAAATTAGCGCAATATAAATCACGCTAACCAATTTTCTCCATTTGTTTGTTTATATGTTGCGTAATTGTCGGCTATTTTGAATCCAATTAAACTGACCGGTAGCGCTCTCTATTGTTTCAACATTGAACTAAACGAAATACAAAACAAATACTTTGTTCGTTAGTATATACCAGAAAATACAATAAATAATAAATAAATAAACAAAAAGAACTTGGCGCTTTGAAACCTTAATAAATTAATTAAATAATTTGCATTTATTTAAGCAATAAGCTGTATAATTTCTAATCTAAGAACATAGCTAAAGGAGTAAAATCTAAGAAATAGCTCGAGTTTGCTTCATGGAAGTAAGAAATTCAAATCAAAAGTCTGAGCCATAAAGAGTAATATTTAAGTATGAATTTCAAATAGGTGATAGTGAAAAAGCCAAAGAAAATGGAAAGCTGTGCACTGGGAGAGAATGTTGCCTTTTTATCTTGTGTCGAAAATGCCCGTATATACGGTGCGCGGTATTTAAGACATTTTTAGTGGGATAGTTCTTTCTATGTTGCAAGCGCGTCTCCGGTGTACAACAATCGGCGAACGAATACCGCAACCGCCGCCCGATTGATTACATAAAATCAGCAACTTGTTTCTAATCTGAAATCGTTAACGAGTTCGTAGATTTAGAGGAGGCTATCTAAAATAAAATAATATATTTTTTTTTCAAACGTCACAAAAGTATTAATTTTTGCGACGTGATTGACAACATAAAAAAGTCGGTTTAGCGCCTAGGCATAAAAGTAAAGCACTTTTACGCCTAAGCATAAAAGTAGGAAAATATTATTGTCTGTTTAATAATATATTTAAAGTGTCAAATTCAACGAGCGTTACCATAGTTTCTCGATATACAGGGTGAGTCTTAAATAAGTGCAAACATTTTCAGGGGTGGTATATTTCGACCCCAGGAACATGTCTATGAGGTTTTTTTCGCAAAAAAAGATGTTGAAAATTGTGCATTTTCTTTTAAATTTCGCTGTATATTTTTTGAAAACTTTTTAGAACTGCCTGTTCATCGCAAATTTTCCCACGGTATAAATTCTTAATCTTTGATATTACCATAATTACTCTTTAGCTTTACTCTATGGTTACGGCAGTAAAAGGTATGCAAATACAGAAAAAATCCGGTGGCTCTCAAAATTTAAAAAAAAATCAATTATTTTAAATTCTCAAATTTAAATAACTCGGTTATATTGGACTTATTTAAAAAATGGTAAAGAGAAAATATGTTTCTTTTATCGAGATCTACCAGCCCTGAAAATATTTGCACTTATTTAAGACTCACCCTGTATAATTACATATACAAGGTATAACTCAAGTATGACTTTTAAATCTTTTATATTATTTGGAACGTTTGAAATTGTTTAAAAAATTATTTGTGGCGTTTGAAAAAAAAATTAGCATGTTCTATTCGGAGTAAAAATGCCTTTTTGTGGCGAGGCTGTATGTTCGTTTAGGTACAAACGAACATACAGCCGAAGTCATTTTTACTCCTAATAAAATAAAATACTATTTTTTCAAACGTCACAAAAGTATTAATTTTTGCGACGTGATTGACAATATAAAAAAGTCATTTTAACGCCTAGGCATTTACTTTACGCCAGGCGTAAAAGACAAAGCACTTTTACGCCTAAGGGTGTGTCAAATTCAACGAGCGTAACTATAATTTTTCGATATATAACACCAAAGATATTTTATCTTTATATAACACAAAACATCCCCCTTTAGAACTTCATCTGTCATGTTAAGAAATGAAAGTAAATAATAAAGCGCCTCTCGTGTTTGTTCGCGTACTAAAAATTTCAATTAATGCCTGTACAGTACGTCTGCTGGATCTGTGTCTATGAAAGGAATGCGGACAAAAAACATTTAAATAAACAACAATATATTTTATACGTCGACTTGACGAGTACGTCACCGCAAATCGCTCCGCCCACTCATTTTATTGGCTACTTGCAAATTTGTCGAATTTTTATTGATGAGACGCGTCGTCTAATTTTTTACGAAAAACATAGAGAGAATATCGTTTCCCCTCTCACGGATACCCCATAGCTATAGAACGGACAGACGTACTGTATATATTTTTAATATATTTTTTAAATTTACATTTTTTTAATTCTAACGTAAACATATTACATTTAAACGGAATATATAACATAACAATTATGTCAATTACAGGATTACAGGCTTGTTTAGGCATAAAAGTAAAGCACTTTTACGCCTAAGGGTGTGTCAAATTCAACGAGCACAACTATAGTTTCACGATATATAACACAAATTGTTTACAAGGTACCTATATTTTTTAAATCTTTTTATATTAATTGGACGTTCAAAAATGTTTAAAAAATTATTTGTGACGTTTGATAAAAAATAACATGTTCTATTCGGAGTAAAAATGCCTTTTTGTACCTCGCCTGTAGTGTCGTCAAACGTACAGCCTCGTCACAAAAAGTGTCATTTTTACTCCTAATAAAACAATATACCTACTATTATTTATTTTATTACACATTTTAGCTGGAATAAAACAACTATAACAACCGTAAACAAAAAAATATATATTTTTAATAAATAAGTGTTATTTGGTGCATTTCATCGTATTCTTTTTGCTTTCGTCATATTCGCACACACCGGAGACGCAATATTGGTTTCCGTCGGTGTCCACACATCTACAGAAACCTCTTCTACACTGTATAGGATTATAGTTGCCATTTTCCAAACATGCAGGCTTATCGACAGTTGATGACATAAGGTTTGACCTAATACATTCTGAAAATAATTGAATAATATGTTTGTATAAAAAAAATATGTATATTTAATACCAATTACACTTTTAGTTACGTAATGGGCGCAATTTTTAAATTCATTGTAGCCAACCATGAATAATGTTCGATACCGGGCTGACTAACTGGAATTTAAATTTCCCGCTGGGGATTCAGGTGGTAGCTCTGCTGTAAAAAAATGTCAAGTGCCACATTTATTTATTTATTTCCTGACATTGTCATTCGTTTTGACACTTTAGTTTCTATTACGAATTTTTGGTTTAAATAAATTGTGTTGTGATATTTTAAGCTTAAAAATGTTTGCTAGCAGACCTTGCAGTCGAATATTGTCCTGTTTAGAACCTCTTTTAGTGTAAAATGTACAAGATAGCTTAATAGCCGTAAAAAACTCATCGCAACTTTATTAGAATATTTTGAACGGGACAGCGGTAGTAATGGCCTTTTATGTCACTTAAGTGCTGTTAAGAAGGTGAGTTTTGTTAATGTAAATAATAACTGTTTACATATTTATAATTATTAATTTATTTTTGTTTCCTAAAATATTTTCATTAAAAGAAAATATGTAAAAGAGGGCAACGCCATGCCGGTTAAGCTTAATCACGTGACTAAAAGTTTATTTGATATTAATTTGATATGACCTATACAAACTATACAGGGTGTTCCTTAATAACATGCTAATATTCAAGGGCGCGATTCTTGGACCTATTCTAAAAGAAAAGTTCATATGAATGTATGTCCTAAACATCTTAATTTCTGACATACAGGGTGGTAAATTTTTCTATTTTTTTTTCATAATAACTCTGATTGCATTACAGATATCTTTATTAAACTTGATACACTTCAAGTCTTCTATTTTTTTTTTAGAATTTAGAATGAGTGGGAGGGGGGTTAATCACTGCGACCTTACAGATCTATTGTGTCCCCCTTTCTTGAGTTATAATTCATCATACAGTTCCAGGGCTTTGACAAAAGCCAGTATCTGGGACGGTTTTATAGAGGGTAATTCTCCATCTCCAATATCAGTCGTACCAAAGTTCATGGCACGAATGGTTGTCGTCTCGGCGCACTCAGTGATGAGGTGTACTAGTGTTTCCCCATTTTCCCCACAGAATCTGCATTCGCCGTTTCTTCTTAGTTTCAATATACTGAGGTGTTCATTGAGGAGACAGTGTCTTGTTAAAAACCCCGTGACAATCCGGAGATTCTTCTTACTTAAACCCAGGAAGATCTGTGATTTTTCTTGATCGTAAGCCCTCAGAAACTTCTTCGAGTGTCTTAGACCGTTGCAAGATTCCCATTCCAGGTTGCGGATGGAATCTTCCAAGTTCTTGAGTTCCGCCTTGTTGGTTAATTGGTTACCACTTGAAAGCAAAACGGTTCTGGTCCAGTCAGTGGAGTGTTCGCTCCTTTTCTAGCTAGATCATTTGCTTTTTCATTGCCTTCTATCTCTTGGTGAGCAGGCACCCAGAGTAGGAGGACTTTGTTTTCTTTGCCTAATTTATTCAGCTTCTCTATGCATTCTTTGACCAATTTCGAATTGATTGATACTGAATTGATCGCTTTTAACGCTGCTTGACTATCAGATAAGATGGCTATTTCTTGTTTCCGATAGTTCCTATCTAAGATAAGTTGTACGCATCTTTCGATAGTGTAGATTTCTGCGTGTAGGATGCTAGGGTAAGTGCCATTGGTTCGGAGTATTTAGTTCTCGTCCCAAACACTCCGATCCCTGTTCCCGTATTGGTTTTGGAAGCATCAGTATACCAAGTTATTGTATGGTCTTTTAACTGCAGGGCAGACGTTTCTCTCTTCCAATCCTTTTTATTGCTCAATACTACATTGAGATGTTGCTCAAAGTTGTACGTTCTTGGCATATCGTCCACTGGGAGTTGCAGGAGTGGTATTTCCTTTTCGAGGGTGTTCCAAGCCCCTGATCTGAACAATTCTCCCAGTACTGGTTCCGTTAGTGACCATTCTAATCATTGTCGCATTGGCATATCTACCAATGACAATGTGCAGTGGTGTTAGATCTAGAATGACCTCTATTGCTGCTGTTGGACAGGGCTCCTGTGATGCAAACGCATGCTAGTCTCTGGACTTTGCACATGTTTAGCCTTGCCGTCCGTTGCTCTAGTTTTGTGTACCAGGCAACTGCTCCATAAGTAATCATGGGTCTTACTATCATGGTATACATCCAGCGCAAAATGTTAGGGGAGCAGCCCCATCTATTTCCGACCAGTCTTCTGCCTATCATGAGAGCCTTTGTGGCTTTGCTGGTAGTGTTCTTAATATGCCTGTTCAACAGGAGTTTACTGTCCAGGGTCATTCCCAGATATTTAACTTCCTGTGATGGCAGTATTTCCTTTCCATCTAGTTGTATTCTTTTCAAGTTTTTCAGACTTGGCATTCTGGTGAACGGCACTATCGCGGTTTTGTCCGAGTTGATACTCAGCCCGACAGTCCTGCACCATCTCTCAGTGATACGGAGTCCTCTTTGGATAATATCACAGAGGGTGCCTTCATGTTTCCCTCGAGCGATCATGACTATGTCATCTGCATACACAATGCAGTGTATTCCCGCTAGAGTTAATTCGTCTAGTAGTTCATCCACTACCAAGCTCCACAGCAAAGGGGAGGTTACTCCACCTTGTGGAGTTCCTTGCGTTGTTTTAACAGCTACAGTTTTGGTGCCCATCTGAGCCTCTGCTGTTCGTGTTGACAGCATTTCCCAAAACCACCGAATAATAGTTCTGTTCACCCCTCTTGTTTCTAGAGATCGCCTGACCACCTTATGTGGTATATTGTCAAACGCCCCCGCAATATCCAAGAAGGCACAAATTGCTGTTTCTTTGCTATCCAGACTTGTCTGTATTAGCTCCGTTAATTGGTACAGAGCAGTTTCTCTGGATCTGTTCTATATGCATGCTGACTATCATGCAGTGGTTTAACCTTTAGATGATTTTCTCCAATATGGTTTCAAGTCTTCTATGCATCAAAATACCTTTTTTGGTGTACAAAGAATTTTATTTATTTCACCAGTGCCGTTCATACGGGTTTTACATTGAATATGTTTAGAAAAAAAACTTCCCTTGAAATAAAAATTATTTTCAAAACCTCCATTCATTTCTAAACATTTTTATCTCTTGATTTTTTCCTCCGACGCATAGTTTTTGCTTAAAAAAAAATAAAGTCAGTTTGTTTCAGGATTAAATCGCTGAAAATATGATGTGGTGACTGTTGTGTGGAAATCATTTCTGCATCAGGCTGGAAGGAAATTAAGAATTAAAACATTTTTTTTTGTATATCAAAATAAGCATTTTGATGCATGGAAGACGCGTGGTTTTACCACCCTGTATCTGAAAAATTAAGATGTTGAGGACATATAGGATTCATATGAAGTTTTTTTCTTAGAATAAGTCCAAGAATCACCTCCTTAAATATTAGCATATATCATTAAGGAACACCCTGTATATCTGTCGGCGGCTTTGTGTTTTTTATGAGATGATGTGTTTTTAGGTATATTTTTAGGTATACTTTTAGTACTCACTGCAATTCATTGAGGTTGCGAGTGTGCCAGAACTGCTCTTGCTTACGGCAGTTAAAATATTTCCTTCAATATCTACACAGTATTTACTAAAAAAATAGTTATACAAAAATGATTATTAATAAGGAGAAAATATTACTGAGTCTTGTTTTGCTGTACAGGTGCGTACGTTCCATCCAGATCGCAGTTAGGATATTCATATCCTATTACTTGATTGTATCCTTGAGCTTTATATTCCTGTACTTTCTTGTACACATCCATGTACTTTGATTCACAGGTCTTGTAATATTCACCAACTTTCTTTGATGTATCTTGAAAAAATTTTAAAATACAGCTCAGAGTAAAAAAGAAAATGGCGGTATTCCCACATAGTAGTAAAAAATATATTTATTTGAAGTGTGTTCACCATAGAATGATGAATAAAGCGAGTTATAATCTCAGAGAAATATGTAATATACAGTATGTTCTCGGATTGTCTTTATAAACTACTTTTTTATTATTGACATTTTGAGAAAAATGCATTTTTCATAAAAATTTTGATCTAAAATGGATAATCCCGTTTATACTTTTTCAAATTTCCATACCGTTTCAAAAAAAATTAAGAAAAACATGAAAATATGGTTAAATTTTTTCCTAATAAATCCTAAAAATCAAAACGCGTTTCTATGGTAATATAACTACGTTTTCATTCTTTGATAGATTGTTATTCATAGAATTTTAATTAACGTAATATTTTTTGTTATTTTAGAATGTTAAAGAAGCACAAAATTTATTTAGTTTAATAGAGTTTAATGCTACGGAAAGGGTGATAATAGTTATCGGAAAATGTGATACTTTAACAACGTCAAGAAATATGACGTTAATCAAATTAATTATAATGATCTATCAAAGAATGAAATCGAAATTATATTACCATTGAAACGCGATTTGATTTTTAGGACTTCAACCTTCAACTATAATTTCATGTTTAATTTTCTCTAAAACGGTATGGATATTTGGAAAAGTATAAACGGGATTAACCATTTTAGAACAAGCAAAATTTTTTTATGAAGAATGCATGTTTCTGAAAATACCAATAGTAAAAAAGGTTTTCCTCTTGTAAAGACCAGGTAAAAGGGTGGGTCAAATTCGACGCTTTTAAATGGAAACACCAAACCAAACCAAAACACCCTTTTCTATAGGAGATAGACAAAAGCTAATATCGGAGTCTGGAGCTCAATTTTTATCAAAAACATGATCGTGAAAACCGCATATCGATATCTGTTACCGTTTCGGAGTTACGGGGTGTTTTTCAAAAATATGCATTTTTAACAAATCGCTGTAACTTTTTCGTTATAGAAAATTTTGTATTTTTATGAAAACATTTCCAAAGCACCTTTTTACGTAGAATTTAATGGTTTAAGTATATTTTTTTTAAAATTAACAATTTAAGAATTATCAACAGAAAATTTGATTTTTTATATGGGACACCCTGTATATTTTTAATTTATTGAAAAGAATTTAAAATTACCTTTCCAAAAATGTAACACACTTGATATTTTGCTCGATTCCTCTTCGAGATATAGAGTATATAAAAATTCGCCTGCTTTAAATAAGTAGGCTTTGAACGGCACCGGCTGTAATGTAAAAAAATTCTAGCTGTGAGCATCAATTAAAACGAAAATAATACTTGCTATGAGAGATGCAGAATTTTATAACACTTTAAAATATATTTAACCAACATCAACACATTTAAACTATATCTAATAACAATAAAACTAAATAGCAAACCAAGACATGAGATTTTGCTACAGGTGTTCGACATATCGACCGTCTTCTGTTATGGCCAGACAGGGCAGTGGGGGTGAAAGATACCCTCTCATAACTGCTAAGTATTTCTAATTCTTGTCTAGATTGTACGGAAGAATAAGGAACATTTATACTTCCGCAAATATATCCATAGGATTAGATCCATGGGCACTAAGTGAGGCGGCCTCGACGGCCAACGGCTGGGATCTTGGTAAGCTATTCAATTATTCTTGAAAATGGCTGCAAAAATTTGCTGATAACTTCAGCGTTCAGAGGCGGTGCGTCGTCTTGCTGGAAAAATATGTTTTCGAGTTCCATTAAGGGCATATCTTCAATAAGGGGTCCAAAGCCTACTAGTTAAAAGTGGCGAACTTTTAAAAATTCTGTATTTCGAAGGGGATTATAACAAAATATTAAGTGTGCTATATTTTTGGAAAGGTAATTTTAAATTCTTTTCGGTTAATTAAAAATATAGAGGGTGTCCCAAATAAAAAATCACTTTTTCTGTTGATAACTCTTAAAATATTAATTTTAAAAAAATTATACTTAAACCATTTAATTCTACGTAAAAAGGTGCTTTGGAAATGTTTTCATAGAAATACAAAATTTTCAATAGCAAAAAAGTTACAGCGATTTGTTAAAAATGCACATTTTTGAAAAACACCCCGTAACTCCGAAACGGTAACAGACATTGATGTGCGGTTTTCACCATCATGTTTTTGATGAAAATTAAGCTCCAGACACCGATATTACTTTTCGTCTATCTCCTATAGAAAAGGGTGTTTCAATCTAAAAGCGTCGAATTTGACCCACCCTGTACATACTGTATACAAATATGTATTACAAATATGCTAGAAGTAAAAAAAGATATGATTTTGTATTTTGAGGTACAGAGGTACATGTATGCTTACAACATGATAATGTATCTGTGGAAATTTTCGTTATATTCACTAAACTTTTGGTTGGATATGTTGGAGCACCATCTGACGTGTCAACGCAGAGACATTTTTCGTTGATGCATTGAAGTTTGTCGTAGTCCCCGTTCGAGGAACACCGAAAGTGCTCGTGTGGTCCGAGCTCCCTACCAATCATATCAACACCAGCGTAATACTTTTTGGAACAGTCTAAAAACAGGATTTTTTATATTCAACATCTAAAAATGAATAGCCCCCCATACACCAGAAGATTCGGTCGGCGGACTTGACCTGCCGATTAGATCTTTGTCCGATCGATGCCCGTTTTAAAAAAAAAAAGCTAAAAAAAAAAGCTAGACAAAACGCTTGCCACAGACTTGGCCTGACCCACAAATGCAAAGATTTTATCCGCGGGCCAAGTCCGCAGACCAAATCTTCTGGTGTCTGGTTTCAGTAATAACATTCAGTTGGGTGTATAAAAATAATATTCCCCAAATTAATAATTATACCCGTGATTATACGCTTTGACGTCATCTGTCATCTGGCATAGCGCGCTGTCGCGTCCGTTTGAAATATACCTTTCGAACGCGCGAAACTTAAACATTTTTTAATAACAAGTAATATTTCGTCGGTGAAATGTGATAAATAGTCAGGGGGCCAATGTATAATCCGCTTGCAAAAAAGTGAGGCAAGTATGAATCATGCACCAAAATTTTTAGAAAAATAAGTAAATTTGATTCTTTTTTGGTACCAAGCCTTCATGTATGTCAGAAGGGAGAAACAACCCCTATTAGGGATTAAGGGGTGGAAAATAAGTATCAACCATTTTACATTGACGAATTGTTTTTTTTTACATACAATAATTTATATAATATTTACAAAATAGTTTTCAACTATGTTAAACTTGATTTTTAGGGTTGTTTGATGCCATATTTATTTTAAAGGGATGATTTTTAACTTTTTTATTATATATTTTTTGTAAACAATATGGGTGTCGATTTCATATATCTTTGGGATAACTAACTTAATGGTATATATTATATCGCTATAAGGTTATTTACAAAGCCCTTTAACCCTTTTGTTTATATTTATACATACATATATACATACCTCTATCAAAGTTTTTAGGTTTCAGGAAAATAACTTTTTATAATTTCAAATTTTTATTGGAATATTTTACAGTTTGCAGGAATTTATCAGTAGTTTCCGTGGAATATTTAAAAATCCAAATCAGAATCTTCAAGTTCATCGTCATTATTACTGTCATTAACAGTGACATTATCGCAGCTGGCTGTGTTTCCAGAACATTCGCACATTTCTGTGCAAAACGAACCGCTAGACGCACATTTACAACGAAGATTGCACCTTGATTTTTGACAGGAACACTTTATATTGTTTAAAACAAAATCAGGTGCTAACGATAAATCGGATTTAATGGGTTCATATTTGCCATTTTCGAATTTCCAGCTGTAATCATCCGGTGATGGAAGGTTTGGATGAGCCAATATATCACGACACCACTTCATACATTGATAATGGCATCGTCTTATAGCTGGTTTTAAGGCTCCTAAAGTAGGCGGTAAGGCATCAGAACTTTGTTTTTTTGAAAATGTCCACTACCTCAAGTCGGACAGTGATTCTTGGTTTTGGTTATAAAGGGAACATATAAATTGTTCAATTTTAGAAAAAACTGATTCTTCAATCTCTTCGGTTTCACCCAAGGATGCCAGAGTTTCCGAAGTATGTGTCGAAGCTACTAAGATTTTTTTCCAAAATGTAGTTTTTGAGTTTCCTCTAAAAGAACCCGTTACATCTGCGCCAGACAATGCATGCAAACTGGGAAGCGCTGCAGCTTTTAGAGGACCTAGTTTATTGTAGATGGCCTGCAATGGAAACTCGAGGATTTTAGAACCTGTTTGTACAAAAGTTGAATCATTTGCTAAAAGAGGAAATCGCCTTATAGCTAATACTAAGACATCCGTATCAGGAGAAAAAAATCTTATTTTACTTGCCCTTTTACCAGACGCTTGTATTACATGAAATAACATTTTTGTATCTGCCTCTTCGTGGCTGCTTTCTAAAAATGGCATGTCCTGATTTTTTTTGTTAGTAATAATCTCTAATCTATATGAACAAACTACTGTGACTTGAATGGAAGTGTTTTCCACTAGCTTTTTAGAGAGATACTCGGTAAGCTTATCTTTGGAGTTGTATGCGATAATAAGTTTTTTTTGTTAAGGTTTTTTACACTAGTTTTGTGTAAAAATGGACATTATATTTTACTGGATCTACACCCTTTTGTCTTCTAGTCCGTTCAAAAGACTTCAACGAATTTTCATTGTAGGAATCAAAAACTACATGAATTTCATTAAACATTCCATACTTGAAAAAAATTCTAGTTACAAATACGTCTGCAAAATCTGAAAGAAATTTCATATTGTTTAAGGATATCAGTTGGACTTCTGCCATCCCGTCTACGATTGCAACAGAAGATGTTAAATTTAAGACATCACATAATCCAGAAGGTGTCTAATCATCTTCTATAATTTCGGCCAAATGGGACATGAGACTACTTTTTGCAGAACACTTAGTTAATGATCCATCAGAATAAAATACACAACGAGGAAGAGCAGATAACTCATAGGTTCCGATTATACTTTTTAAATCAACATCGTCCCGACTACGACAGATAAGGACACATCTAGTAAAAATATTTTGATCTTGTCGTAATTCGATGACTCCTTGTTTGGTATTGACTTTAACTTATTTTTTCATAGAACTACATAGTTTCGATTTTACTGTCTTTACCGGATCCCAAAAACCAGCCTCGTTTGTTTTAATTCTGCTCTTAAAAAATATATCAGCCTCGATCTATCCTATCTCGGACATACCTTGAACGTCATGACGAACGTCCTCACTAGCTATGCGATTGGTAATTAAATTAACCAAATTGTTATCTTCGCACTGGAAAGGACTGACGTAGTTCTTAAAAGTTTCTTTCATTGATTTAGATGTCGACACTTGCCTTTCAGAGGTGGATTTATTCTATTGGTGGTGCCTTTCCTTTTTGTATCGGAAAGAGTGCCTATAACCGTGTCATATATTTGATTAAGATGTGGAGCACATAAAAAGTATTTCACCAATGCCTCAGGATTAAGCGTAATTCCAGTATGTCCTCCACAAACTTTTAGTTTCCGATTTTCTTGTTCTAAAGCTGCATCAGCACCTAGACAACATAATCCGTTCCCGTATTTATACCATTAAAGGCCAGAAGATAGGTATTCCCAAGTAACAGGATCTTCTTTGTTAATGACACTGATTTCTGCAAGATGGTGATATAGATGCGCTAAGGAACTGCGTCAAGTGCGAAGAAATATTTTTGAAACTCGTTTAAGGTAGCAAGTCGTAGCTCCCAATTCCTACTTCGCACAGCACTTATAAATGAGAGCATTGTGAGAGCCATATTTAAGTACTGAACTGCAAAGGTAAAAGTTGAGTTGTTCTCAGAAATATCAGCATTGCATTTAGAATATTTCTCGTAAAAACTTGATTCATCAACACGTGTCATTAGATTTTCAAAATTATCCAACAAAAATTTGTCATATGTAAAAATTTCAAAACAATTATCCAACTTAATTTGTCATATGTAATTTTTAATGTGTACATTACAAAATATTACTAGCAATGTTGAATATCATTATTTTGTATCAAAATATCAGTGATATTTTGGTTTGTGCAATAAATCGAAATACCCACTTCAAAAGACGCGCAGTGTATGTTCTCATCGGTTTTTTTTAAAAATTGATCTCATATTTAAATTTGCCGGCCTGAAGTTATACGAAAACGACACCAATATCAATATTTTACGTCTATAACAACTTTTCAAAAATTGGACACCGCCTAACTAGGGGAGGGGGGTATTTCTCCGCTCTAACATGGATGCGGGGCTGGTACCAAAAAAAAATCGTATTCTAGATGATACTCCGAAAATTTTAAGGTATCTCACAACATTGCCTCACGAAGTTGCAAGCGAGCTATGTATTTTGACAAATTGGCCCTTGACTAAAACTGCTAACTCCATTATTTCTAATTTTACAGGAGAGCAAAAAAACGGTACAAAAAAATATGTACACATGTAGGAAGTATTTTCATGCGTTAATATGATAAAGAGATGAGAATTTTATTTGCTCATGGGGAACAATAAAACTCAATATTTCGTATTACATAATTTTTTTCAGACACAATAGGGAGATAGCAGATATTCGTCTTGCAGAAATAAGAAATAAAAATATACTTCTGGAGATAGCAACCTTTATTGTTTGAAATTTTGAAAATGGAATTGAATATTACCCAAACAGATTTAGAAATAACGAATTAAATTTAAAAAATATGATATTCATAACCATATATTTAGAATGTCGGGTCAGAAGCAAAACATACAAGTCCAAAAACGAATAAATTTTTAAAGAACTGAAGTAGCAGCATTTTGAACTTAATGAATATGAAAATAATTTAAAAATTAAACTTATAATTCTTAGAAGAATCCTTCCATGCTTATTCTAATTTTTATATAACGGTAGTAGACCGAGCTTGAAAAACAGTGCGTGATTTTATTAAATTTTTATTACTTTTCTCCTTATTTTTTTAATTTTTATAAAAATTATGTATCATTTACGTGGAAAAACGTTGAAAAAAATAAAACTGATTAGGTATTATGTATATATGTATTCTTGTACAACTAAGTAATGTTATTTAAACTATTTATAACACGCCGATGAATTATTGCTCGTATATAGAGAATTTCGTTTTTCCCCTTACCCGTTACGGATACCCCGTATTTACAGAACGGATCGACGCAGGGTCGGACTGGCCATATTATATATATATATATATATATATATATATATATATATATATATATATATATATATATATATATATATATATATATATATATATATATATATATATATATATATATATATATATAACTATTAGGGGGGCCCCAGCCATAGCGGGCCCCCTTTATAGTTCATTATTTATTCTTAACAATATTTGCTTTTGCATTGCATTCTGGCATTTGCATTACATTGGTTTACCTTGCATTAGGGTAATAATAATAATAATAATCCCCACAAAACTGCTTCAATCACTAAAGGAATTAAAGCTTCAGCACAATCTCTATATTGAGTTACAAAAAGCAAGCATAC